GTCAGCATTCTCTTTCTCCAACCGTGCAAGCTCACAGAGGAGTTCATCATAAGGGGTCCTGGATAAGAGGGGACCTTTGTCATCTCAGCCTTTGTTGTCTTGTTAGAGCTGGTAAAGTCCCAATCCAGTAGTACCTGCTCAGTGTGACAGCTTAGCAGATCTGTGACTGAGGTGTCTCACATTCTCTTGGGAAGCCAGGGACACTGTTTAGGCTATACTATTCCTACCGCCTGTGACAATGAAGTCTGCTTTCCAAGGCTAACCCTGGGAGTGAACTTCTGGACTTGTGAGGGCTCCATTTCTTATACTCTCCTGAGGGGACAGCTCTGAGGGGTGTCCATGATTAAGTATAAAAAGGCTTATTGGTTTGAGTTGTTATTGAGATTAAAATAAGATTCTACTCAACAGCCAGATGATGGATCCTTTGAATTGGACAACCTTCTATATTGTAATGTTTTTTTTAATTTTAACTTAATTTTTTTATTTTAGAGAGTGTGTGTGCATGTGGGGGAGAGGGACGGGGTGGGGAGGGAGAGAGAGGGAGAATCTTAAGTAGGCTCCGTGCTCAGAGTGGAGCCCAACACACGGCTTGATCCCACAGCCCTGGGATCATGACCTGACCGGAAATCAAGAGTTGGAGGCTCGGGGCGCCTGGGTGGCGCAGTCGGTTAAGCGTCCGACTTCAGCCAGGTCACGATCTTGCGGTCCGTGAGTTCGAGCCACGCGTCGGGCTCTGGGCTGATGGCTCAGAGCCTGGAGCCTGTTTCCGATTCTGTGTCTCCCTCTCTCTCTGCCCCTCCCCCGTTCATGCTCTGTCTCTGTCTCAAAAATAAATAAACGTTAAAAAAAAAAAAAAAAAAAAAAGAGTTGGAGGCTCAACTGACTGAGTCACCCAGGCACCCCAGAGCACCGGGGGTATTATACAGGCTCCTCAAGTAAACACTAAAAGTCAGGTAGTGAATTCAGCAGAAGCACCTGAATGGCCAGCAGACTAGCTCATCTTTCTCTTACAATTCCTTCTACTTTCCAGAGCCCTGAGATCAGGCCCTGCCAGCCGCAGGCCTTCATACACAATGTTCTCTGCAGATATATCCTGGACCCCCAGTGCAAAGAATTCATGTCCCCTGGACAGCAACAGATTTTTTAAGTTATAAAGCTCTTTTGACCTCCACTTTCAGAAGATCTTGCCAAACTTAGGAAGGAATTAGAAAGATTCGTGGCCATTTACAACCCGCTTCACAGAGGAAACAGATGACGAAATTTCTTCTAGGCCTTACTACAAATGATCAGCTGGAAACCGATGTTTGGGGGCTGATAAAAGCCAAGACTGAATTATGCTTTCAGGAAAGAGAGCACCCAAAGTCCTTTTTAAAACACTTTATATAGACTTTTAAAAGATGTAATGCATTAAACCCTGAAGTTCTAGAACACAGAAATCTTTTAATTCTAATTTTAGGTGGAACGCAAGTCTTCTCCCTGATATAAAGAAGCAAATTGAAGAAAATTTAATTAGATGAGCAGGTCAGTCCCTTGATATTCAAGCTGCAATCTAGTTCTTTGGGGAATTACAAACAACTGTACTGTCTTGGTGATCTCTACAATACCAGAAATGTGGCTTGAGAAGCAATTCAAACCTCCCCTATTCATCTCAAAATACTTCTAGGTGCATACAATTCAGGACATTAGAAACAGGATGGTCTTGCACTTAAGGAAAGGGAAAAAAATGAAAGTAATCACTCTAGACCTCTGATAGGAGGCAGATATACCCCCAAAACTCCTTGAAGAAAAGCTGGATACTTACTCTGTACCTTTGTGACGTGGATTTTCTACCTCCATTTTCTCTAGGATGTCATATTTTTCTACCTCTGGATGGGTAATCAGGGAAATTATTCAGTATTAAAACTAGTTTAAGTTTGTTGGTTTAATTAACATAGATATGTCTTTAGAGGTATCAACATTCAATAGAATACTTTTATTCTACCCAGGCTTACTAAATAGGTTTAATACCTCTTGCAAATTTCAACAGCAAGAAAAACAGTCTGGGATGATGGCTGACTTTGTCTACTGTCTCAAGAAGTTTTTGTGAGTAAACATATGTTGGAATTTACATAGATGTACGTGGGTAAGAGTCTTTAGGTGAACTTCTTCACAATATATTTTATGCTATGTGTACTTAAAAATAGCTTTCAAAACCTTCTAGCTACCTCGAAACTTTCCAGCTTTACTAAGTTTGGGGAGTTTTCTGGTGTCAACAGTTACTCTCTTGTTAGTTCTTTTTTGACCCCAATGTCGCTGCCCCTGAATGAGATCATACACATCATTTGAAGGGTGAGATTAGAGAAAGAAACATGTTAATACAGACTGAAGGTTTCTCTGGTTCTGTAAGTGACCTTCTGAGGTTGGAGAATACCTCTGGGCTCAAAGTATCTTCTCAAAAGGGGTTCTCTTTAAATGTTTACAGATTATAGATAGGCTGAAACCAGCTATAACCACCCAATATCTGGGCAACTGGGGGAGTATTCATTTGATCTCTTGGTTTATTAAAAACTATGGGGAGGCTAAAAAAAAGTCCTAGAAAAGTTGGCAAGGTAACTTCAAATGGAATGCATATGTTATTACACAAAACTTATTAAGTACAAATCCCTCGAAAAGAAACTTTAATATTAAAGAAATTATAATATATCCCAAGGAGAATTCTAGTCTCAATAAATGACAGCAAATATAAGTACTAGATCACTACTGCCTTTGGTCTGGCATCTGCAAGAGGAAATTATACACTCAACCAGTTTGACTTCTATGTGACTTTCAACCTTTCTACAATCTTGTTAGAATGTGGAGAATCTGGAAACTCCATTCATTTTAAAACTAATTGCCTCAATCTGAAGATGGTCCCAGGAGAAAAGGAGTTGAACTAGAATTGTTTTAGCTCTTTTCCTGGACAGTGGGACTCCATTCTTGCCAAATTTCTTACTTCAATTAAGTTCAGAGCCACAGGGATTTGAGGATGGGATTCAAATATTGTCCATCTTAAAAAAAAAAAAATCTGTTATTCATTCTCCCCCAATGGCAGAAGCATGATTTAATTGACTATTCCTTCAAACTCTATAGACTCTTAAGTTAGGGACAAATACTAGCACCTCCAGAAAAGTCTCACATAGCCTATGAACCAGAAACATAAAATATTGTTTTCCTTGGCTTCTTCTGTGTCATTTTGAAAACTGTTCTCTGTGAGAGAAAAAGTTTTATTTTTGATATCAAATATATTTAAGATTTATTTCTATAAGGAAGTCTGTCAAAGTTCACATGAGCCCTGGTCTTATTTTTGCCACTCAAGATGATGGGACAGATATGCTCCTTTGTGGCCAAGTGCTCAGTGGAGAAGTGCTTGTCGCAATGAGCATCAGTCCATCTTGGAAACAGCAGCAACCCATGCTCTTTATCATGAGAAGACATGACATGAAAGGCTGAAACTAACTTTACCAAAGTATTATTCATCCCAACATAAACGTCTGTCTCGAGACACCCTACAGGCTTGCCTGTTACCCTGCCAAATAAAAGAGGTCAAACGGTACCAGAAGGGGAGGAGGAAGCCACGTGGCCTAGAAACAGTGACTCCTGGTCCAGAGGAAAAAAGTAGAAAGAGTTTCTCAGACATTAAAAGCCATTAATATCGGAATCACAAATATTTCACTAATATCTCCTGGGGAACAGACTGATATGCCATTCTCTCTGCCCAATACTCCAGTGGAATGAAACTATCTCCCAGGTCAATTGGCTCCAGTATGGGAACACTGTTGCTGACAAAGGAAAAAATCTTAGTTTCTAGGCCTATTTTTAGGAACAGCGAAGGCTGTTGGTATTTTAGAAAAGGTAAAGCAGTTCCATGCTAAGCAATGGGAGGAAACAGTGTCCTAGGCATGGATTGCACACCTGTGATTTCTACCTATAACAGGTGGAAAGGCCTCCACCTGTCAACCCAACTCATAGTTTTCCACCACAGTATGAACTGACAGCAGTGATTTTGCCCGCCAGGCTGATACAAATCTTGTCTGCTGTCATTGCCAAGCTCTCAGAACCAGAGAACTGAGTCAGTACCTTGTTCAAAAACAAAATGGACAAAGGGGGCGCCAAGGTGGCTCCATCAGTTAAGCATCCAACTCTTGATTTTGGCTCAGGTCATGATCTCACGGTTCGTGGGATGGAGTCCCGTGTTGGACTTTGTGCTGATAGTACGGAGCCTGCTTAGGATTCTCTCTCTCCCTCTATCTTTGCCCCTCTCCCACTCACATTCTTTCTCTGTCAAAATAAATAAAGAAATATTTTTTAAAATTGGACAAGGTTTGAGGGCAGAATACAAAATCTTTCTCTACTATAAAAAAATCTGCTAACATAATACTGCTGAGTCTTTAAACTGCTTGTATTCTAGAAATATCACTTCAAAACAGTTCAATGGGAAGAGTTGATTTTTAAACATACTTAAAGAATACACTTGGTAGAGGGGCCTGGGTGGCTCAGTTGGTTAAGTGTCCAACTATTGACTTCAGCTCAGGTCATGATCTCATGATTTATGGGATTGAGCCCTGCATTGGGCTCTGTGTTGACAGCACAGAGTCTGCTTGGGATTCTCTCTCTCCCTCACACCTCCCTCTCTCCCCTCTTGTGTTCTCTCTCTGCCTCAAAAATAAACATTTTTTTAAAAGAATACACTTGGTAGTAGAATACTATTCAACCATAAAAAGGAACAAAAAACAGGAAACTGACACTTGCTACAACAGGTGAACCACAAAAAAATATTATGCTAAGTGAAGGAGGCCAATCACAAAAAGTTATATAATCTATGATTCCAATTATACAAAACATAAGAACAGGAAAATCCAGGCGCAGAGAGCTGACTAGTGGCTGCTGAGGGCTGGGGAGAGAGGGGTATGAGTGATGGCTAAGAGGTACAGAGTTGCTTTTTGCGTTGGAACTAGAGAGAGGCCACAGCCCTGCAAATGTACTAAATGCCACAGAACAGTATATTTAAAAATAATTAATGGCAAATTTTATGTTACATAAATTTTGACTCAATTAAAAGAATACGGTTGGCCACATGAATGTAGTAAAGCATTCACATTAAGGCTCTTTAGTTAGAAATACTGGATTATGCTACCTGATTTGGGGCTGGCACTGATACACACATCGATGTGATGACCTCCATTAGTTAGGGATCATAGTGTCTGGTACACAGAAGATAGTCAAAATTGTGGATGAAAAGTAAAAAGAATCTATGATCATTGTGACCAAGCTCTGCATACCTCTACCCGAGCAAGAGGAGGCAAAAAGCAGATAGTTATGAAAAGTTCCAATGCTGAAGAATGAAATTCTCTGAGCCTCAGAACTAGTAATTTCTCTTAGAAATTTATAGGGTCTTGAAAACCTCAAGGAATTCTTCTGAACATGTATTTTTGCCCAGACATCATTAAAGCTCAGACAGAGGTTCATAATCCTTTTCTCACTCACAGCATCGCTAATGTCCACTTTCCAAAGATGACCTCACTTCTAGAACAAAGGAGATGTCTTGACACGAATTTAATTTGGAGACTCTTGGAGAATTATAGCAGTTTCTTGACAGGAGCCTGGAAAAGTCCTGGGCAGTCCAAATGTATTTGCTACCTCATACTTGGGTAAGTTAGCAACATTTGCCACAAAAATAAAAATTTCAAATTGGCTGAGTGTCAAAGAGCATAGAGAGGCTACACCCATTCTCTACTCCACAATTTTAACTTCTTACTCAAGCCAAAGAGTAGCAGGCTTCTCGGCTATATACTGCAAAGCCAGATTCAGGTTGATTTTTGTTTTATTTGCATCATTTTTCCCATTTTTATTTTCAATAATTTTTATGCTGGAAAAGATGAGACAAAAAAGTGACATGAGCTTTTTGCAAAGATAATTACCTTCTCTGAGAAAGAAATCAATTTCCAGTGGAATAGAATAAATTGCATCCCACTGATGATGTAACCTATACAACTATCAAATACTGTGATTTTCCCTCTAATGCCCACATTTCTGCTACTTTTGGCTCTGTGAATTAGGGAAGAGAGGACTGTAGAATTCAGAGACAAAAAAAGACCCCACAATTCCTGAGAGAGAGCAGGACCTTCACTTCCAGCTTCCCATGAGACCTCACGCACTCAGATTTCCATCTGAGGATTCCATGATTGGAGAACTCAATCTCAGAACTCAAGATGCCAACCACTGCAGTTTCCTAAACATACCATGCTATTTCATGGCTCTATGGCTGTGTTCATGGTATTGTAGCCTTCTAGAATATCCTCCCCAGATTCCTGCGGCTGGCTGATTCAACAATCATTCCCTAAGTCACCGCTGAGGTGTCATCACGTCAGGGGATTCCATGGCTCCCATGGTACCCTGGCTGTCTGTCATACCTACCATGCTGTGTCGAAATGACCAGTTTAAGTGTCAGTTTCCTTTACCAGACAACTAGAAAAAGGAAAAGTAGTAAGTTTAATGCAGAGAAACTAGACAAATCCCACCTTAACCAAGTAATCAAAGTAATATCACCAGTGATGGGACATGTGCCTCTCTCCCTAGGATGTACTGAGGGCACAACACACTTCGGTGGTATGCCACACTTTGGTATACATTCCAAAAATGTATAAATTCATCTGATTATGAGAAAACACCAGACAAACCTAAAATGAGACCCATCTGACAAAATAAAAGACCTATCTTAAAAAAATGTAAAGGTCACATAAGACAAAGACCAAGGAACTCTTTTCGAATGAAGCAAAGTAAAAGGACATGAAAAGTAAATGCAATGTGTGTTTCTGAATTAGAGCCCCAACCAGAAAAAAAAATTATTTTCTTTTGCTATAAAAGACATAAGTAGGAAAACCAGCAAAACTTTAAAGGCTTTTAGACTAGATAGTATTACTGTGCCAATGTTAACTTCCTGCACTGTGGTTATATAAGGGAATGCTGTCCTGACTTTAAAATAAGTTCCTAGCAACTTAACTAAAATCGTTCAGAAAAACAATCATGGGGGGGGTGGGATGACACACAATAAAGCCACCGCAACAAATGTTATACACAGTAACATGTTATACAAAACATTAACATTTGGGGAATCAGTGAAATTATATGGACATTCATAATTGTACTATTTTTGCATTCTTTCTAGAAGTCTTAAATTATATCAAGATAGGTTTAAAACTTTTTTTTTTAGGGGCGCCTGGGTGGCGCAGTCGGTTAAGCGTCCGACTTCAGCCAGGTCACGATCTCGCGGTCCGGGAGTTCGAGCCCCGCGTCGGGCTCTGGGCTGATGGCTCAGAGCCTGGAGCCTGTTTCCAATTCTGTGTCTCCCTCTCTCTCTGCCCCTCCCCCGTTCATGTTCTGTCTCTCTCTGTCCCAAAAATAAATAAACGTTGAAAAAAAATTTAAAAAAAAAAAAACTTTTTTTAATTATAAAAACCTAAAGAAAAATTTCCTTTTTGATGAGAATAATAACGTACAGGATTAGAAACGCATATGCTATGTTCAGGGTGGATGAGAAAATCTGCAGTAATTACCTTGGGGGGGGGGGGCCCGGGCAGGAATTACTTTTAAAGTGACATCAGTGGCTACACAGAGTGCTAATTGGAAGTTGGCACGATTCCAGGTCACTGATACGCTCTCCCAGATTAACCCAACAAACTGGACAGCGTCGCAATACAAGGAATTTTCTTTACTTGTATAGTCGTAAGTGGGAAGCAAATACACTGTCCATAATGCTGAGCTCTCTACCTGCTTTAGAAATAAATATTTTTCTCACCGCCTTTACAAACTAAAAAACAAAAACAAACAACAAACTCCACCTTAAAGGTAATGATCCTACAAATACCCTACACAAAAGATAAGGAACAATAATGTTGTGCCAGGATTAGGGTTTGCAGCCGACTGATCCTCACTGCCAGCAGGGGAATCATCTCTATGGGGTTGGTCGTTTCCGAGGCAGCATTTTCTAGGACAAGATTAAATTAACTGTACTAGCGGCAGGGCTACAAAACAAAGAGAGTAAGACACTGCGTCTGCCGTCAGGAAGTTTACCATGACATGTGAAGAACACACGTAAAGAGGTGAGTCGTGGGCCCAAGCATAATGTGGAAACCAGCGAGGGGTGGGAGGGCTGCAAGGACTCACAAGGGAGCTCTCTATAAACACCTCCATGTAGGGAAAGGAATCGATTTATTGCCCAGCCACAGAAGACCTGCACAGGGAGGCAGAGTTCAATCCAACATAAGGAAACAATTTCCAACAGAGCTCTCCAACAATACAATAGGTGGCCTTGTGAAGTAGTAAGCCTCGCCACCAAATACACTCAAGTATATCCAGGATGCACTCTTCAAGTCCTACAAGAACCAAGGATTCTTATTACATCATCTAGGCTGAATCACTGAAGGTCACGTTTCTCAATGCAGCATCCCTGGCCTCTAGCCACTAGATGTTGTAGTCCCCTTTCCAGTTGTCACAGCTGAGAATATCTCCATTCATTGCCAAATGTCTGCTGGTGGTGGGCGGAGGTAGACTGTCCCTAGCTGAGGGACTCCAAACAAGCAAATTTCTCTGAGTGTCCGTGTTGAGAAAATGAAATACTGTAGAATTTCAGAGGGAGGGCCTAAGGTAGTCAGAGGACTTGTGGAGAAGGTAAGACTGGAGAGAAGTCTTGGAGTAAAAGAATTCTGAAGAAGGGCAGAGGAAGCAGTGAGCTTCCTTGGAAAAGTATGCTAGGAATCAAGATGCAGAAGAGGTAGGAAAGAACAAGACTGCAACAGGACTATTAGGAAATCAGCTGGCCAAGCAAAAGCGTTCAACAGTAGATAAAGCTAGAAGTATTTGTAATGTTGTAATGTGTTGAAGGAATTTCCAATCCAAAGTCAAGGCTGCTTAGGTTAGTATCCATGACCTACCCATGTCATGGGAAAGCCAAAGGTGAACGCAGTCCTATCCAGAGACAATGTTCTGGAAGAATGATGGCATGCTGGACAGTTAGGCAACACACCATATTATCCACTCCTCCATTTTCAAAAAATATAAATGTTTGCTCTCTTATCTACCACTGCTCTCTACATGTGAATGACAGAGATCTGACTCTCATTTTAAAGTCCACATTGAAGAGAAGCAGATGGCAAGTGAGTGGTGGGTAGGGAGAGGAAGAGAATAACAGTCATCAGATGCTGGACTGAAATGCATCATATTTCCTGAAAGATGGCAGAATGTTAGTTAACATTTTCCAATATTCAAGCAATGCTCACATGCCAAGAAGGTTGGAATCTGCAGGTGTATGGATGACCAATACTTCAGTCTTTATTTTGTTTGGTTCTATAGATCCAAAACTGACCCCAAGTGAGTTTTCTCAAATCACGCTGTAGTTGTGAGAAAACTGGGCATGTGGCAGAGTCTGATCAAGGCCAGCGCCAGCCTTAAGAATCAAGCCTCCTGGGGTGCCTGGGTGGCTGAGTTAGTTAAGCGTCCAACTCTTGGTTTTGGCTCAGGTCATCATCTCAGGAGTCGTGAAATCCAGGCCCCGCATCAGGCTCTGCGCTGACAGCACGGAGCCTGCTTGGGATTCTCTCTCTCCCTCTCTCCCTCTCTCTGCCTCTCCCACCCACTCACATGCTCCCTCTCTCAAAGTAAATAAATAAACATTAAAAAAAAAAAAAAAGAAGAACCGAGCTTCCTTAGACTAGGCTGGTTCTCCTCTCAGCATGGTGCTTAGATACACCCAGGAAGGCTCTGGAAGGGCTCACGTTCAGAGAATCTATTGCAATCTTGGAGACTAAAGGGAACACTTCTAGTGTTCCTCCTCTGGACAGGCACTGGTTGGCAGTGCAGCAGGGTGGACAGCTCACATCCATGACACCTCTGGAGGTCTGAGAATGCCAGGAGTGCCCACTGGCAGTTGAGGTAGGCTGGTCCTGGAGCCCCTACATCCGTGCACTCAACTGCGGGAGACAGCAAACACCCTTCGGCTGACTCCTCTGTCCTGCCGTTCAGAAAAAGGATGGTCTATCTGAGCAGTCACGGAGGGGCAGGAAGCTGCTGGCTTCTTCAAGAAACCTATCAAACCTATTGGACCACCTCCAAAAGGTGCAAATGAACCTTTCCTAAGTAACTCTTCCCCTGTATTCCAATATACTTCTGAAATGGGCCCTCCAATTGACGTTCACCAGGTTCTTTATGGAGTAGAATTCAGCATCACTCTTGAGAGTTATCTACCATTTCCACTTGTTCTTTTGGGGCATATGAGAAGCTACTTGATTCACCCTTATTTAGGTTCATCTTACCTAAACTTTATTTTAAAAAATAGAGAAAAGGAGACCAAAATATTTACATTTAGGGAAATTTTAAAATAAAAGCGTTACAAATGCAAATGAGTTTGTACAAACGGAGAGCTTTCAATCCGGGCCTCCTGCTGAGCCAGCCACTCAACTGCAGACCTTCTGCTAAGTGTTCTCACATTAAATGGAGGAGCTTTCTCGAGGGCTAAGAAAAAGTTATTAGGAGTGTGAGCTTTGGCCATTATTTCACAACTGAGTTAACCTCTATCCCAAGGGCAACATTCTGCAGCTGTCTGCAGTGAGTCAGTACTTTCTCTTCGTCTTGATTTTTTCTCCTATTTGGGTAAATTACCCTTGACATTTTTGCCTGTGACTAGGGGCATCAGAACCAAGCTTGGGTCTGTGTCTTGCTGCCGTGAATAGCTGTCTGCTTTTTCAAAAGCAGAAATGGATATAGAGTCATGTGACCTTAATTCATTCTAATGAAAGTCACAAACTGATGGAGAAGGCGTGCGCGTGCATGCACACACACAGCGCAGCACCAACGGCACTTCAAGATGATTGGAAAACATGACCTCTCAGATGGCATCTAATGGCATGTTTACCATGTAGTCTCATACATTTCTTTCCTCTAGACTTCACCATATCTGATTGTCAGAAATGCTTGGCACGATCGTAACAAGCACAAACAGAAGACCCATCACAAAAGGGAGTATTTCTCATGATGCTGGAGACTGTATTCACCAGGAAAATAGAGATGATGAGAGTAACCTGTCTTGAAGGATGCTGTGAGGAGCAAAGTGGTAACACACATAAAGTGTTTCTAGTGGTTGCCTGGGGCTGGCGGAGGAGACAGGGATTGGCTGCATGCAGGCAGAAAGGAACTTCTGGGGTGCTGGAATGTTCTAACAGCGAACTGTAGTGGTGGCTGCACGAGTCCATTTGCTACCAATCACTGGATTGCAACCTACATGGCTGACTGTGGTCTGTAAAGAATACCTCAATTTAAATAAAACTTAAAACTTAAAACTGTTTAGAAGAGTGCCCAGTTCATAGTATCAGATGTTGGCTCTTATCATTTCATTCAAAAGGATTTATCAAATTGGACATGTCATAAAAGGAACTAATCTTCCTTCAAAGTATGAGGGTCACATTCTGCCTTGATGTCTTGAATTGGATCTGTGTTGTAACCTGTAATTGATTTGAAAAGTAAATTAGGCCTATGGCAATCATTTCTATTACAAAGATTTTACCAACGGAAAAAACGATATCCCACAGAGTAATGTATCAATAGCAAACTGGCATGTAACCAATCCAGTTACACTTCTCCATAATCACTCACTTTCCTTTTAAAATATGGTGAACGTGGGGTGTTGGGGCGCCTGGGTGGCGCAGTCGGTTGAGCATCCGACTTCAGCCAGGTCATGATCTCGCGGTCCGTGAGTTCGAGCCCCGCGTCAGGCTCTGGGCTGATGGCTCAGAGCCTGGAGCCTGTTTCCGATTCTGTGTCTCCCTCTCTCTCTGCCCTTCCCCCATTCATGCTCTGTCTCTCTCTGTCCCAAAAATAAATAAACGTTGGAAAAAAAATTAAAAAAAAAAAATATGGTGAACGTGGGGTGTTCAGCTGGGAGTCTGACTTCGGCTCAGGTCATGATGTCGTGATTCATGAGTTCGAGCCCCACGTTGAGCTCTGTGCTGACAGCTCAGATCCTGGAGCCTGCTTTGGATTCTGTGGCTCCCTCTCTCTGTGCCCCTCCCCCTGCTCATTCTCTCCCTCTCCCTTTCTCTCTCTCAAAAATAAACATTAAAATAAAATAAAATAAAATAAAATAAAATAAAATAAAATACGGTGACCGTGTAGATTTACTTTAATTCAGAGTAGCAGTCTTCATTACTGCCATCTCTTTCAATAACAATGACTCATCATAAACTATATTAGGATTAGGATACGGGCAAGAGAAGTAATGCAAGGCAACATACAGGAAGCGCTCGAGGGTGGCCCTGGGTAGAACCTGAGAAAACAACCACACGTTAGTGCCAGAACTATGTATGAGTAGGTATTTAACAATACTGACTTACTGACAACTGACAATGTTGAATCTTCTGAGTGCTGTGCAGAAACGGTCACAGAACCTCCACTCTCTTCCATCTGGTAAGTGGCTAAAGGCAGAGAGCCACTCTCCCCCCATGACTTAGACAAGACTTACTGTCCACTCCTCCTCCATAAGCCCCATTAGACTGACGATGACTCCCTTGTGTACCTGCTTCGATGGACCCGAACCCTTCCTTTTAAGACATTCCTCATTAATGAGCATTCTCCCTCTTGCAATAGCCTGAATAAAAGTATCTTTCTTCTCAATTCTCCAGTGCATTTTGTTCTTGACACAGTAAATATAATGAACAAGTTTGGGTGGCATTTCTATCCACTCTGGTTAACAATGTTACTTGAATCCCTTGACGTTTTATGATATTTTAGGGTATACACCTATATGCACAACATACATATACCTGTATGCATGTGCTAGAGAACAAAAAAGCAGAAGATAAAATTAGTGTGCACACACAACTACCTACAACTGATTGTCCAGGCAGAGGTGGACACACTTTTCCTACAAAGAGCAGATAGTAAATCTTTTGGGCTTTGCAGGTCATATGTCTGTCACAACTACTCAGCTCTGCCTCGGCACCATGAAAGCAGCCACAGAAAATACAGAATCGAACGGGTGTGGCGGTGTTCGGATAAAACTTTATTTACAAAAGGGAATGGTGGGCTGCAGTTTACCACTCCGGGGCAGTGCCTCCCAAAGGTATTCGAAGGAGCACTACTTTTAGGGCTTGTTAATAAGGAATATGGGGGAAAAAAAAGATGGGGAACAGATTTGGGGAAATTGGGAAGCAGGTTTCTTCACTACAGCACAGCTCAACAGCTTTAAAATGCCAGTATGCACTGTGAATCTCCCAGGGAGAGCCCTTACAGAATATTTTTCAAAACCTCAAGTCAGAGGGTTATTGCTTTGTAAAAATATTTTTTAAATCTATAAAATTAAGTAAATCAATGTTTTTTTTTAAAAAAATAGTAACTATTTCGAAAGTACCTATGTATTTGAAACACTTGGGTGGGGTCACCTTTGTAAAATGTACTATATAATTCCTACTTATAGAGATAAAATAGAGAACATAATTTAGCCTATTCTAATTGAGACAGGTCCCTATAAATCACATGCTACTATCCTTCCTGTAAGATTATAGTTTTGTAGGGGATTTTTTTTTTGGAGGGGGTTCTTTTTCCAAGTCATTGGCAACTCAGGTATTATTTCTGTTTCTCAGTCCTCTGCACATCTTGCTATCTTCTAATTCCTAGTTTAAAAGGTCCCAAGGCATCGGGCACCTGGCTGGCTCAGTTGGAAGGGCATGAAACTCTTAATCTCAGGGCTGTGAGTTTGAGCCCCATGTTGTAGGGTAGAGATTACTTAAGAATAAATAAATAAAAATAAACAAAAAATAAAAAATAAAAGATCTCAAGGCAGCATCTCCTATGTTAGTCTACAAAACAAGTTCTGGGAAAGGTTAACACATACTCAATGAAAAAAAGGATTCAGTGATAAAAATAAGTTTGAGAAATACTACTGCATTCCATATTCCCTCTCAGAGATTCAAAATGAATATAAATCTAATAAAGACTAAGAAGTCCTGAAGTAAAAAACATTGTTAAAAAATAAAAATAAAAACCACATTGTTTAGGGGCACCTGGCTGGCTCTGTTGGTACACCTTGTGTACTCTGGATCCTGGGGTCAGTGAGTTCGAGCCCCACGCTGGGAGTCGAGGTTCCCTTACAAAATTGTTTAATTTAACCTACCATTTCCCAAATTATATGAAATAGATTTTTTTTTTTTTTTTAAGGACTACCATTCACACTGCTTGGCAAAACTGGCCTAAACACACACACACAGACCCAGGCACATAGAGATCAACTAATTCTTAGAATCAGCTGTAAATGATTAGAATGAGCTAATTCTTAGAATTCTATGTAAATTAAGAGTCAATAAACTTAAAGTCATGAACTTAATGACACCCTCTCATTGATTCTCAAGTCTCTTTCCAGTTATTCTAGGTAAAAAAAAAAAAACAAAAAAGCAAAAAACAAAACAAACAAACAAAAAACATCTCCATGGTAAGACAGTTCCAGAAATCTGGAGTGTTACTCTATTAAAGAAATGCACTTTTCTCATT